ACCTGCCTACAGGTGGCTCAGCCTCTAGTGGGCTGGGCACTCCTCTATCAATAATTAAATTGAGAAAATGTCCTAAAGACTTACTCATAGGCCAAATTAGTATGTGCTGAGGGGAGCATTTTATCAACTGAGGTTCCCTCTTCTCAAATGACTTTAACTTGTGTCAAGCTCAGAAATCCTAGCTAGCTAGCACAATTGCCATTTGTCAACTTGATACACAAACACTCCACTGTTCAACTATGACCTTTCTCATTTGTCCCCAAGATGGCATGTTACTATTAACATCATAATATAAAACATCCAACTTTAAAGAGCCCCACAGGTTTAAAAACTTCATGCAATTAAGAAGGTTTGCCTTTTTAAAATATTTATATCCTGTCTCTAAAATTCCAAAGTCTCTGTAAAACTCTACACTGCAAGCTCAAAAACCAACAAAACAAAAAAAGAAAACCAAACAACAACAACAAAAACCATTCTTATTTCAGGAAAGGGAACCAGGGCATAGTTACAACAGATTAAAGCAAAACCAAAGTCCAACAATGTAAAAAGCTCAGTGGGAACATGATTTTCATGATTTACTGGACTCCAAGGGCTCCATGTCTCCACCTGTGTTATTGGCAGCACACACAGCCTATCTCATGGTTCCGGCTACGTCTACTTAACAGATGCTGCTGTTGTTGGCAGCCACCCCATGTCACTGACACCTGCAAAATATTCCTGCAAGTGGGCTGCACCTTCGCCAGCAGGACCTCTTCAAGGACTGTGACCCTGTCACATGGTGTCAAGCCTCACCGTTTCTCCATGATCTCTTTAGCCCTGGAGCTTCTACTACTGTAACTGGGGCTGAACCTTCACCAGTGGTCTCTCATAGTGCCTAGATTTAACTGATCTCCATGACCTCTTGATGCCTTCACAACCAGTAAAACCTAAGAAACTCTTACACATTACGAAGTTGTACACCAGCATAAGGTACAACCTTGGCCCCCTCTGGACCACTACTTTTATGTGCAGAACCTCAAGAAACACTTTCCAGGAAAAGATGCCAGTATCTTCTTAATTACAGCTGATTTCTCAGCCTCAGCTGACCAGAATCAATTGTACCAGCAAAGCAAAGTTCTCACTTTAGTTGTTATTAATTCAAAATATTGAACAGCTACAGAGTCTTTAAGGGACTCTGAAACTCTCCTCTACAAACTTCACAAGGAAGGCCTCCATTGTCTATACTGCTCTACATATTATGTTCTCAGTTTCCACAATAGCTCATGAAGCTCTCAGCACCCAATAGCTCTTCCATCCCTAAGTTCAAATGCCACCACAATCCTCCCAAAACTATATGGTCAGTTCTGCCCCAGAAATACCCTCCTACTGGTATAAATTTCTATCTTAGTTAAGGTTTCTCTTTCTGTGATAAAACAGCATGACCAAAAGCAACTTGGGGAGGAAAAGAGTGTTTGCTCTTACATTTCCAAATCATAGTACATCGTCAAAGTCAGGGTCAGAACTCAAGGAAGGAACCTGACAGCAGGAAATGAAGCAGTAGACATGGAAGAAATGAATTACTGGATTGCTCCCCATGGTTTTCTCAACCCAACTACTACGCCACTCAAGATCATCTGCTCAGGCATAGTGTTGCCCCAAGTGACCTGGACCCTCCCACATCAATCATCAATAAAAAAAATGATGCCCCACAGGTGAATCTGCTGCAGGAATGTTCTCAATTGAGTTTCCCTCTTCCCAAATGATAGCACCTTGTTTCAAGCGCACAAAAAAAAAAAAACCTAGCCCACACAAACTGATAATTGTTAAATATCATTCTGGGATGAAACATTTATTTGTGGTGGAAAACTCGCTGTTGTGCATGAAAACTGAGCCTAGAACAATCACCAGGCTTTTGTTCATGTGTTTGCTCCAACTCTTTGCTCATCACTTCCTAATCAGAATTTGGCTCCTCACATAGTTTTGAATACAAGGAGAGAATGATCTAGTCCATCTCTGTGGATTTGAGATGACTGGTCTTTGTGCCAGCTATAAAACTTGCTGAAATATAGCTCAGCATTTGAGTCTGTGCACTGAGTCAGTTCCCCGAGGGCGGATACTTGTGTGTGCTGCTAAGTCAAGTGTGTAAGGTCAAAGGGGCTGGCGGTGAGTCTCTAGCATTCGGAAAACTAAATTCACCAAGGTGATGATGGCAGGTGGTGAGTAAACCAACTATGACCACTCACTACACACCTTCTCACTATGAGACAAGACAATGTACTACGTGCTTCATATATTTTAGCTTATTGAATTGTCACAGCCTTTGAATGAAGGAGTTATTACAAGTATCCCTGTTTTGTAAAAGAATAAACCAAATCCCATAAGGCTACAGTAATTTACAAAAGCTCACTTTCAGAAATGAGATGCAGGTCTAAGTCTATCAGAATATATAGTCAAATTTCTTAAATAGTTAAAAATACTCTGTGGGTAAGAATGAACTCTCATCTTCTCCTGGTCACACTGCTTAGCATCAGCAGTGAACTCTGACCATTCCAGCCCACGTTCACCAACAGATAACCATTGCACAGTCTTCACAAATGCACTTAGAGAGTAGTGTTCTACGCTCACCCTGAGCGGAGAGAGCAATCCCGTTCTGTGCCACCAGTTGGCTCCAGGTACCAATAGTGGTAACTTGCTTGACTCCTCTCTCTCCCTTCACATCCTGCTACCTTTGATCTCTTATATATCACCATGTCTCTAACACTTCCCTGATGTAACTCAGGTCTAGTTTTCCCCATGTCTGAAGCCACTATAAAACTCCTGAGTTTTTGCTTCTACACACTCCACATTGCTCTAGTTTTTGTAAATCTCTTCAGTGTGAAATCTCATTCATGCATTCAGTGATCTTTTTGACACCTACTGATGACATTCCATTGTTCAAACTCCTTCAGCATGACTTCCCCCACACCCTGTGCCTTCATCTCTCAGAGTGACAGGGCTGCTGGCCTCAAAATGTACTTGGCCTTGTTTGTAAACTCCCAGATGACAACATACTAAGCCTGGAGCACACACATGCATATGCTCCCTGACAAAATACTTTCTGTATGTCACCCTGGTGGATTCACTTAGGTTTGGAGGGACCATTAAATGGGTATACTACCTTCTCCTGAAAGCCCTGGTTATGTGCCATCATAGCTGTATTAATCACACTTCTGCTAATCAACCTTTCATCTTACCACACAAGGATAATTGATTTTAATCAACCTTTCATCTTACCACACAAGGATAATTGATTTATGAGACTTAACCCTTAGACTATTACCTCCCTTAGAAGCAAGACTTACTCCATTGATAATTGGCACAGTGTTTGCCCTGAACAAAAGCTTGCCAGATGAAGAGTGGCTGAAGGAGCATACACCTAGTATATTATAGATGTAAGAATACATACAGCTTCCTTAAGCTTTGATTGTGTGATAGAAGGAAAGTCTGTCAAGTTCCCTAGGTCGTAGTGTGTTAAGAGAAGCTTTTTCTTTTGCTAGCCGCTTTGGTTTATCCCCCGCCAGTTACCTGGGCTCTGCCGCGCCAGCCTGGTTCTAGATCCGCATGAGTCCCAAATAAACACGCAGGAGGCTATATTAATTATGAAGCTGTTGGCCTTGCTTGTCTCTTACTGGCTAGCTCTGCTTTAAGTAATTATCCCATAATTGTTAATCTAAGTATGTCTCTTACCGGAGAATAGTTCCAGGCTTCCTACCCCCAATGGCGTTACATGTTGACTCTCTTGTCTTTCTCCTTCCCAGAGTTCTCCTGGACTCCTAGTCCCTCCTATCTAGGTTTCCTATAGGCTCAACAGTACTTTATTGACAAATGCACAGGACTTCCCCCAACAGTAGTGTCTCTATGTGAAATGGAAATCATAAAATCTACCTTGTGAAGTTGGGACATCTAAACAAAAGTATATGAAACATGCAAAGTTTCAACACTAATGCACTATATAATGCATTCAAATTATAAATATTACTATGTCCCTCAAGACCCAATGAAAAGCATTCATTGTTTTTGAAGGTCTTTGCACACACTCTGAATCATCCATAAAGACACTGCTGTGTTATGTCTTTATCCAAGGAGAATTGGATCCAGGGTCTCTGTGGATAGCAAAATCCATGCAGCTTACAAATGCCCTTCCATATATTCTTGGTTGCTTACAATAAGGAATATAACATAAATGTAACAAATATAAATGTTATGCAAGTTAGTTTTAAATTTTTTTAAGAACAATGACAAGAAAATAGTATGTACATGCTTAGTACCTGGAATGTGATTTCACATATTTACTGTCCACAATTGTTTGAAGCCTCAAAAGTAGAATCCAAGAGTAAGGTGACTCTCCTGCATTTGGTAAAGTGTGGTCTTGTACTCTAAGTAGATGGTTTAGAAGCTCAGCACTTCTACAGTAAATGCTTCTGTGTAAAATGGTTTTACCAAGCTTTGTTTTGTGATAGAAACTAATGGTTCCCATTTACCACCAATCTTACTGCTGACTGCAGCCTTACACTATGTTCATTCCTCATACCTCCCGAGGCTCAAACGCCAAAAGGAGATACCAGCAAGGCCACATGAAGCACACTGGGAGATAACAGAGGGCAGAGGCGGGGAGACAGGTGGTGATCTTAAATTAGAAACTGGGTCTTAAAGGGGCCAGACAGAAAAAGTGTGTCCTCTGTCATCACAAAATGGAAAGCTACACAGACTACCACATGTTTGTGTGCATGTGTACATGTGTATATGTGAGCATGTGTATGAGCATGTGGGTGATAACATGCCCTTACATTTTGTAATTGGTGTGTGGTTAAGAATAAGGAACAACTAAAAAATTGACAAGAGAAGGAGATAGGTAAATGAAGGATGAAGGTGATAATACTTGTATCTAATTGGAGTTCTAAGGTGGCAGCACATGTGCACTAATAGAGCTTTAAGGAGGCAGCACATGTACTATAATGAGTTTTAAGGTGCATGTGCTCTAATGGAAGTTTTAAGGTGGCAGTAATGAACTATATTGGAAGTTTTAAGGTGGCAGTTAGTACATATGCTCTAATGAGAGTTCTAAGGTGACATTACATGTGCTCTAATGGGAGTTTTAACTAGTTTTACAAAAGAAAAAATCTTCAAGGTTTGAACAAAAATGTTAATACTGTAATGGGGTAATGAGTTTGTGGGCAACTTTTAAAAATTATTTCTCTGTTCCTTTTACAGTGTTGTCCTGTGAGCCACATAGTAGAAGGAAGGAGAAGAGAACTGACTTGGTAAGTTGTCCTCTGGCCTCCACCTGAGCACACACCATACACACAGTCTCTCTCTCTCTCTCTCTCTCTCTCTCTCTCTCTCTCTCTCTCTCTCTCTCTCTCTCTCTCTCTCTCTCTCTCTCTCTCTCACACACACACACACACACACACACACACACACACACACACACACACACACACACTCAAATTTTTTAAATTATAAAAACAAAATTGTTAGAGAATATTTTGTGTCTCCCTTGTAGGTGACTTCTGGAAAAAACACGCCCTAGGCTGCAGGGGGCTCCAGGTGCCAGAAGCCTGACTCAGCAGTGAAGACTCGGGGCTAACTTGGAGTTAGGGTGGCTGGCTGTTCTGTCCTGCCCTTGGTGAGCCCTTTCTTTGCCTGCTTCTGCCTCACTGGGCAGACCACGCCGCCCCCAAGAGCCCCTGTAAAATTCCTGGGGTTAGGGAGGAGCAGGGTGTGGCTGAAGGTCTAGCTGAGGAGCCAAGCACCTTTGACCTGGCCTTCCCCTGGCGCCATCATGCCATACCGCGCCTACCTCTTGCAGGGGATCAGCGCCTTCCTCTCGTCCAGCACCCGCACGCGCTGGTTGAGCCCATCGTAGGACAGCAGGGCGCGGCTGTTGTGCCCGCTGCTCTGCTGGTACAGAACCTGGCGTCCCTCCCACTGCTGGGGCGCCTGGCATGGCTGCGGTGTCTCCGGTGAGCCTGCTGTCCCCAGGCCGCACAGGCTGCACAGCGCCCAGACCCAGAGGCCACCCAGCAGCCAGGCGCCCCGAGGACCCCAGACCACTCGGCAGGAAGCGTGTGCGTGAATCGCCATCTGCAGCTCTGGGGGCAACTGAGCCCAAGAGGGCGCCAAAGCTCGGAGTGGGAGAGCTGCGCTTTATCTCCGCGCTGGGCGGAAGGTGAACTCCGGAACTCAGTGCTCTGACGCGCAGGTCTCTCCCGGTTTTCCGTTCTAGAGACTCAAGGACGCCGGCCTGGGAAAGCCGCGTGAATCGCCCAGGAGCTCTTTCTGCCCTAGCTTACTAAAGCTTGTTTTCTCTGCTCTCTGCTGCCAACAGGAAACACAGCGGCAGTGATGCCACCTAGCATCCTGAAGGGCACCGTTTGGGGCGGAGAAGAGGGAATGTGCTGAGAAGGGGCAGATTTCTCCAAGATGTGCAGTCTTCATTCCGCAAACCCTCACTGGGGGCGATTTTAAGGGGTCCAGGAAAAGCAGAAGTGCAGCACTTTTTCTGGCTGCTGTACTTGACAAAATTGCCACCTTTGTTTGTTTGTTTGTTTGTTTGTTTGTTTAAACAAATTTAAAGTGCCATGGTGAGTCCTGAAGAAATAACACTAATTACTGTTGTGGTCGCTAGGCACTTCCCAGTCTCAGGCCTTTACAAAGCCTCGAAGTCACAATTCAGTGAGACTTACTTCTCTCTCTGTCCCTACATGGCAAAGCTTAAAGTCTATAGGTTTGTGTATCTTAGGGTTTACATCTTTATGTTTAAGTAATGTCAGGATTAATATTATACAATCAAGACAAGATGAAGCAGTTTACTTTTTTGTTTGTTTGTTTGTTTGTTTGATTGTTTGAAACAGGGTTTCTCTGTGGCTTTGGAGGCTGTCCTGGAACTAGCTCTTGTAGACCAGGCTGGTCTCGAACTCACAGAGATCTGCCTGCCTCTGCCAAAGGAGTGCTGGGATTAAAGGCGGAAGCATTTTACTTTTAAAGAGCCCTGCTTTACAATTTTATTTATATCTGCACTTAATAGCAAATATGAAGAAGAATGAGCCAGTAGGAAGTGGTTGAGGGTATTCCTGGGGGGGGGGGCAGGAGTACAATAGGGAGGGGACAGGAGAGGTCAAGCATTAGAAGAGCATTCTGGAGCCACATCACTTAGAATCTTAAAATCTGTTAAGTATTTTTGTTATTATTATTAAGAACTATGGGAGCCACCAGTCCAGAAAAGGGCTAGGGAGGGGCCTTCTAAAGGATATTCATTAGAAAGCTTGCTCAGGTGCCACAGGGAGAATACACAGGTTCAGACAGAGTGGCAGAGTGCCAGGAAAGAAGCAGCTACGTGTAGTACAGGCCAGAGAATCTGGCTGAGTTAAAGAACTGGGGATGGGTGGTGTGGAATGGAGCTTTGAAATAAGGAGCAAGAATTCAGTCCTAATTTGCAAAAGTGCCAAGGTGGAGGGAGCTGGAGTAGAGTGGAGAGTTAGGAGTGAGAGAGCCGAGGGCGCAATCCTGGAGAGCAGCAGGAATTTAGAAGGAGAGAGAAGTAAGAACAGAGGGACCAAAAGGGAGTCACCCCAGAGAAGCACTTAGCTAGAGGACAATGGCTTTAGTGTTAAAGCTGGAATCACAGACTTTTTGTAGAGTCCTTCCAAGGCTGTCTATATTACACAGTCTATAAAATGCAAGAGACAGACTGGAGTGGGCCTGGGGTTACAAACAGCATTGAAGACAGCTTCCTCCAGGCTGAGGGCAAACCCGGGATGAGCTCATCAGTGAACTTCACTTCTTCTCCTTTGCCCCAAATACCTGTCTTAACATTTTCCTTTGTTACTTGTTTTCTTTCAGTGGTGGGATGAAGCTAGGGTCTTCCCCATGCTAGGTCAGTGCTCTACCTCTGAGCTATATCCCTAGCCCTCTCTTTACTAAAGAATAAGCAATCAGGGAATACCAGCAAAGCCCATGAAACTTTGAGGTGAGGTAGTAAGGGGCCTGCATAGTTAAATATGCAACAACTTCAAATTGGCTGCCCAAGAGTGATCCTTCTCCAAGTGTGCCCTCCCCTGCCAGCTCCCAGGAAAGTGATGGCAAGTTTTGCTGTCTCTTGTTCTCATTAGGAACTTAATCTGAAAATCTTTGTTGCTCAGTGAAGGATTTAGACTTGGGATTTCACTACTGGAAAAGGCTTGAGATTTCTTTTGGGCCACCCGCTCTGCTTGATGTTTTCTGGCTTGATTTGGCATCCTTGGAACTTGACACTTTTCCTGCAAGAAAGCAGAATACCTATTTCAATCAGCCTGGAGGCACTCTGGGCAGTTTCCAAATAGTATCAGAACTCTAAAGTGAATTTATGTCTTGAAAGTGCTTGTCCCCATACCTTACCCAATAAAGAGGACACAGCAGATATGTTTTGTTTTGTTTTGTTCCATTTTGCCCAGCTGTTTTAAGCCTCAGCCAGATTCTCTCAGCTTTGGAGAGGCAAACGAGCTTCCTTAAAACAGGATTTCAAGGTCAACCATAGATTTAAAGATTAATGCTCAGACAACATGTTTTCTTATTGTTAATGATTACAGCAGATTTACACCAGAAGCCTTGCTGTCTGACTGCCAGACATTTGATATGAACTTGCTTCGGTAACACCTCTTTTCTGGGAATAGTGAGGCCAGTGTTGATTGTGCTGCCTCTTACTAATGCAAAGAAGAGGAAAAATAAACATGTACACTTGCTTTCCAAAGCTAGTGGATTGTTACTCAAGAAAAATAGTCTGTAATTTATCAAAGACCAGGCTGTTGCACTGGGGAACTTTTTCAGAATGTATTGTCTCAAGTAGTCTTTGTTTTCTCCTGGTTTCCACTCATGGTGGGTTCATGAATTAATATTTAGAGAAAGGAAACAAGCAGAGAAACTTCTCCAACCAAAGATGCTCTTGCACCCCTGGCCAGTTCTAAGTTCCTAGAGCAGGCACTGACCAAATACCTGGTAAAACTTGAGCCAGAACTAAGCCCAGTGGCCACAAAACAACATCAGTAGCAACAACAAACCCCACACAACTGGGGGCGGGCTGGAGGAGGCTTATATAAACTGTCCTGCTGGTCGGTGCTGTTTCTGACACCTACTTCGCTGGGCTTTCTAGGCTCCACACGGCACCTCTCTCGCCCCCTACCGGAAAGAAAAAGCAAATGTTTCGACACTAAAGGGCGACCAAAGGGTCACGTTGCTCCAACCCTATACTTAGGGAAACTTTAAGGCCAACTGAGCAAAGATTGTGTTTTTCTCTCTTCAAAGTCTTCCCTGCACTGTCTTGTATTAAGTATCACAAATGATTGAATGCGAGGTGTTCCTTTTCTTGATCTGAAGAAAAAAGGACTAGCCACCCTAAAAAGGGAGGGGCTTTGAGGGAATGCAGGACTGAAGACCTTGGCTGCCCGGCGCCAGAGATGATGTCACCACTTCTGCACAAGAGGCTGGGGGTGGAGCAGCAGAGCTGGGAGCCGACTCTGAGCTCCCAGCTGCCAAGGCTGCTGAGCCCACGTCAGGGGACGAGTTTGGATAAATAGAGTCCCGCAATGGCCGTGTCCGGCTACGTTCCGAGCTGCGGGGTTCAAGACTGGAGCTTCCTGCGCGGGTCGGTGCTCTGGAGGCTGAGTGCTGGCACTGCTGGTGCTCGGTGCGCCCAGAGGCGATCTGCAGCCAGATTCCAGAACTCCCTATCGGTGCGTACTGGCAGAAAAGCTCACCTGCTGCTCCTACGTGAAGAGATAGGCAGAGCTGGGAGGCTTGAAGAGAAAGGTCTTTCTGTCAACATCAGCTCCGGAGGACAGTGCCATGCTCCTCTCCATCCTGGTGGCTTTGTGCCTGTGGCTGCGCCTGGCGCTGTGCGTGCGCGGCGCACCTTGCGAGGCTGTGCGCATTCCCATGTGCCGGCACATGCCCTGGAACATCACTCGGATGCCCAACCACCTGCACCACAGCACGCAGGAGAACGCCATCCTGGCCATCGAGCAGTACGAGGAGCTGGTGGATGTGAACTGCAGCTCGGTGCTGCGCTTCTTCCTCTGCGCCATGTACGCACCCATCTGTACCCTGGAGTTCCTACACGACCCCATCAAGCCCTGTAAGTCTGTGTGCCAGCGCGCACGCGACGACTGTGAGCCCCTCATGAAGATGTACAACCACAGCTGGCCAGAGAGCCTGGCCTGCGATGAGCTGCCCGTCTACGACCGTGGAGTGTGCATCTCTCCCGAGGCCATAGTCACTGACCTTCCGGAAGGTAAGGCTGGAGGAGGTACCCCAGGAGGACAAGAGAGTCCGGGAGCCGACACAGTTACATGATGAACAGGCGGTCTCATGTACAGCCTACCAGCTCCTGTCCCATAACAGTTCACTGAGCCTTGAGGGAGGTGAAAAGCAGGGAAGATTACTTCACAGGGATTTCTCAAGGGATTTCTGAAGGACTTGGGGAGAAGGTTGCTTGGGTGTAAGCCATTTAATTGTTTTTATTTAAGGTAGATAGGAGAAACAAAAATCACAGCAAACAGATATTACTGGATGTGGGTCAGTGTTAAGCCTATGTCCTTCACCTTACCTAACGCTTGAGTCGTTCCACCATGTGGTGGCTAATACACTCTGAATTAGTGCTGATTGGAAGTCCTTTCTCCAAGAGCAATAGTGATTCTCACTCCCCTGCAGGAGTAAGGTTAATAAATGTAGTAGTCCTGGAACTCAGATAAACTCCACTCAGTTCCTATGTTGTGGTCGCTGAGCCCAGTACCCTGGCATGTTAGCTACTCTGATCACTGTGTCGCTTCCTGCTTTTCTCCTTCCTGCTATTTTACTGCTTTTGTTGGAAGGAGCACTCTGAATTCACTTCTTGACATGAAACCCGAGAACAGCTTTGCGTTATTTTACGGAGGTTTCTCCTAAGTCAGATCACCCACTATTTAAACAGACTGATTCTACAATGTGACTCAAGGGGACTGGCATGATTTGTGAGCCTTGCTTTAAACTCGCCTCTTACTAAGAGTATCAGAAAAAAATTAAATTAAACAACTGTTTAAATCTCATACATGCCTGGAAGTTATGCTTAGTTTTGGTAATGTGGCTTAAGACTGCTTCTGAAAGACAGTAAGAGGTGGCAATGTGGGAACAGTCTGCCTGTTTTGATCGCAGAATTGCTAGGATGGCTAGGAGGGGGATGGGTATGAGATTGATCCAGGTTGGTGTCATGGATGTTCATTCCATATCAAGTTGTTTGAGTAAGCAAATTGTTGGTTCATAGACTTCTTTCTTAAGCCTGCAGTGCCATGAGAAAAGTGGGTGATAATCATATGCTGTTTTTACAGTGGATGTTTGTATTGGCTTGTAGCTGCTAATGATTCCTTATTCAGTTTGGATGAGGGGACCCAGTCATTGACTACAACCCCATGGTCCTGTTTGTGTTCCAGATGTGAAGTGGATAGACATCACACCAGATATGATGATGCAGGAAAGGCCCTTTGATGCTGACTGTAAACGCCTGAGCCCTGGTGAGTTCCATCCTCAGATGCCCCTTGCTTTGTGCCCAGAGTGATGTCCCTTCCCCACTTCCCATGTACTTTTTGTCTCTTTTAGATCGGTGCAAGTGCAAAAAGGTGAAGCCAACTTTGGCAACATACCTGAGCAAAAACTACAGCTATGGTAAGTCTTCTGAAAATGACATTTGCTTTGGGGACTTGCCCTGAAACACATCAGACTGATGTCCTAGTCAAAGAAAGGGAGATGATGGATTTTGTTGCTGTTATTGTTGTTAATTATATGGTTTCTGGAACTCTCAACAACAACCATAAAGCTTCTTGCTTTTCTGGGTAAGTCAAAGAAAAAAAATAAATTACACACATAAGAAATTGTCTCCGTGAAAACAACTGTGTAGAAAGTGGCAGAGGGCCAATGTTTTCTTTCTCGGTTATTTCACTACAGCAAGAATGAGGGTTCAGACCAGGATTTGATTCTCTGAAGACCAAAAGATGAAGACCTGACCATGTGCCTTTTCCCTCATCAACAGCTACAGATGATTAACCCTCCTTTCTTTTACTTGAACAAACCATTTAGTAATTCCTCCAAAAGAAAAAAATCAGTCATGGTATTTTAAAGGTTTTAATTCCACTATTATCATTTGGAGTTAAATTTAATTGTGTTCTTTTAACATATGTACTTGAGATCTGAGGCAATTTAATTGATTACATCAGCACATGTATGTATCCACCCATATATGACAAATACATGCATGTGCTCGTGCACACACACACACACACACACACACACACACACACACACTATACGCACATATACATGAAAAGAAAAGATAAAAACAAATCAAGTGTTTACTTGGGCTATTTAATCTCCTGTTGCATCTCTTAAAATTATTTCTCCTAAAATAATAAGAACAAAAAAGTAACAGGAAAAGTATAGTTTATCAACTTGGTTTTCACGTTTTAAATGAAATTAAGTATCAGTAAGAAGCTTTAGATTATTTATCACATAAGAAAGTAGGGAGATATAGAGCTCTGGAAAAATAACATGCAGTTCAGCTGTCATATTTGAGAGTCACAAATAACCAATATGGACAATTCAACAACAGAAATTTTCTTCTGAGTAGCTATCTTTCTTTCTTGAAACGTGTTCCATGTAGACATTGTCTTAATCTTATCTGCTTTATTCTTGTCTGCCAAGATCCAGCCCAAGTCTAACCAGAGGCTATCTAACCCCTGCTACCATTATCTTTAGGGTGCCGTGCTTTAGAAGCACCTTGGCAATGAACTGCTCAACTGATAAATGTTTAGCTCCTCCTCAGGCCAGCTTCCTATGGTGGAATCCAAAACAGACCTATTGGGCTAATCAGCGATTCTACTAGAAGTACTAAGTAGCAAGGGTCCAAAGAATCTGGAACTTAAAACTTGATCAAAGGTGGTGACCTGAACATCCACCTGTAATAACAATCTCATCTCCCTTTCCCTGAGTCATCACTGTCAGTTTGTGAAAAGAATGAATTGAAAACAGCATCTTTCAAAGATTCCTTGCAGTTGGAAAATATTAACATTAGGTCTCAGGCTGTCTAAAATATTCAGAAATGAGTTCAACCTGGAGTATAGGAGGATATGTGGTGGTTAGATAAAAGTCAGCACTCTGCGGGGAACCTGGCTGTTATGGCTGATGGCCGTCCTCCGACTCATAAAAGGGAAAGCAGAAACAGATAAAATTGTTTACATGGTTTGACTGACCTGTACATCCAGGCTAATGCTGGCCTTCTAATTCCCTTTTGATTTTGAGATGTGATTCATGAATTTTAAGACAACGTTGAAAAAGATAGGATGTTTTGCATTTAGCAGTGTGGGTTTTCTGCCTGTACTTAGAGAGCTTGGACATGACCGTAATTACAGGAGTAATGCTGTGAGAGAGGCTCTGATTTGGCCCTAGCACACTGTCTCTAGTTCCCCCAAAGGCTTCAGTAACAGCACTTACTTGAGTTTTAAATTGCAGTTATTCATGCCAAAATCAAAGCCATCCAGAGGAGTGGTTGCAATGAAGTAACAACAGTGGTGGATGTAAAAGAGATCTTCAAATCTTCCTCACCCATACCTCGAACACAAGTTCCCCTCATCACGAATTCCTCCTGCCAGTGTCCACATATCCTGCCCCATCAAGATGTCCTAATCATGTGTTACGAGTGGCGATCAAGGTAGGTTCCAAGGAGCAGAAGAATTGCATATGGAGCATGAATCTCACTTAGCAGTCATGGTTTTAAAGAACAGAGCAATGCCGGTTGTTTTTGAAAAAAATTATGTTAGTAGATGTCTTTTCTGGGATGCTGTATTTCCTAAATAAGTTTATTAATTATCTGAATATTCTAAATTTCCAGTTAATAGAATGAGGGTAATTTAGAAAAATACTTAAATAGAATCTTTAAAAATCTAATTCAGAAACTATTAGGTAAGTTAGAATACATCAACAAGCAAATTATGTAGAATAAGAGCAGTTATTTTTAAGTCATTTTATCAGTCTCAGCATGAAGGGGTCTGAATTTTAAAGTACTGTCCAGTAGCTTAGAGGCTAACTAGAAGCCACCTTAGACTAAAGTTCTACATTTTCCTAATGTGTACTTTAAAATACATTTCATTGAACATTGCATACACACAAACACACATGGAAACTTTAAGATGGTTTCTGAATCTGAGAACATATAATGTCAAATTAAACCTTTATAAAGCAAAAGACAATTGAATAGACACACACATACCTTTACTCATATCTTTCTTGTTCATATATCAGTACAATCCTGAGAATATAGAATTGAACTTTTCAGCTCAAGTCCTAGGACAGACCCCAAAACTTGTAATAATTTTATCTTGGAAAATCACATGTTTTTATATACACCCCCCCTTTTATTCTCTGGCATTCATGCTTATATGTTGCTTATTGATAAACCCCAATATTCTATTCCTCTAACCTTAAAAAGCAAATGCATGTTTCAAAATATCATAATTTCAATGCCTGGCTATGCATTCTATCCGTTGTTGATACCCCTCCTATAGAGCTGCACGTTCTTAGCTTTCAAACCATCCTTCTACTTACAACTGTCTCTCTCAAGATATGTTCAGTTCTTCTGGACTCATTTCTTTTATTAGCTTTAATAAAGCAGGGTTAATTTGGGGACATTCTAGGTCATTAGTCATTCAATTTCTGGGCAGATGAGTGGATTATAGACTTAATCAGTGCAACTATTTTTAGAAGACGGGGATTCATGTAAAGAAGATTTTGAAAGTAATTAGAGATATATCTTGAAAAGACACAAAACTGGCATAAAACTACTCATTTTGAAACTATGTGGTTTAAGAACAGACATACAGATACATATAAAGAAAAAGAAATGCTTTCCCTTTATTTTACTTATCTCAAATTCCAAGGATTGCACCAGGGCCTTGAGTGCTTAATGACCAAGCTCTCTATTGCATAGTTAAGCCTTCAACCCTCACTTTACTTATTATTTTAAGATAATGTCATACAGGCAGACCTTGAACTCATTCATTAGCCCAAGCAGACCTCAGACTTGCAACTTTCCTGCATCAGTCTCTGTTCCAAATAGCAGGAGTTATAGGCATGTGAGAAGCAAATCCAACTAAGGGAAATATTCTTGAAAATAATTTAAACAAATAGAAGAGTATTTTATGATGGAAATGTGATAACACCATAGCATTTGAATGTATTAGTTACAAATATATATTTATTTATAAAAGTTCTTTTCACAGTATTAAAAGACAAATTTAAAATGGATTAAGTTGCTGAACCATGGTCAAAAATGACAAAATTAGATGATTAGAAATATGACACCTGAAATGCAAAGTACTTTATAAGCACAAAATCAACATAAGAAATTGCAAGAGAAAATGTCAGTGTACATTTTAACTGGATGATATTATGTGTACAACAGTCACAATAGCCAATAGAAAAGGCTATGACTTTGTAATGGATATGATGAAGATGGAGATATTATTCTCTAAAATTACCACTCAAAGATAATTTCCCAAAGTATGAACAGTAAATAAACATTAAAATTTACCTCTGCATTTCTGAAGCTCAAATAAGCAGAAGATTCTAACTTTATTTTGTATTTTAATGCTAGTGAATTAGATGAAAATTAGACTATTTTTAAATGATTGGTACTCTGTTAAAATCTTTGCTTAAAGATTTATTTTTACTTTACATGTCTGTCTGTTTTGCCATATGTGTGTCTGTGCACCATATGTGTACCACTTCTGTGGAGTGCAGTCATACGTGTGCCACTCCCATGGAGTGCATTCATATGTGTGTACCACTCCATGGAGTGCAGTCATATGTGTGCCACTCCATGGAGTGCAGTCATATGTGTGCCACTCCCATGGAGTGCATTACATCGTTTATAACTAGAGCTAACAGATGTTTGTTGGCCTCTGCATTGTGCTGGGAACCTAACTCAGATCCTCTGCAAGAGCAGCCAGTTCTCTTAACCATTGCACTACCTCTCAAAACATAAAAACGAAAAGGTCCTTTTGGCCCAGTATTCTTGTTTCAGAACCCATCTAAAGAAACAATATTCCAGTGCACACTATTCTGTGCAAGTCTATGGAACACAGTAAGAGTAATGTTAGATTAACAAACGCAAAATAGAGAACAACTAAGTGCATATCTATGTTGTACTATATATAGTTTATAGTTTACTTTGTGTTTTCTAATCATTCCAGAAACCAAATATAACAATGAAAAGTATGGTTTGCATATGCAGTGTGATCAAGAAAACATATAGGAACAAGAAAAATCCATAGTAGATAAAAAATCAATAGTAGATAAACAGTTATTAGGATAAGAGTTATCAAAAAACAAGTCGGATTTTCTGTATTGGTAAATGCTTTACTTTTATAACCAAAATTTAATTGCAAAGAAATTTACTTCTTTTCTAGGATGATGCTTCTTGAAAACTGTTTAGTTGAAAAATGGAGAGATCAACTTAGTAGAAGGTCCATAGTAAGTATAACCAACAAAAGGTGGGCATGAGTAGAAATGACTGTAAGAAAATTCTACATATTGGGTATTTTTACCACAATGTCTTCACTCCAAGCTCTCAACAACAGCCAGTAATGGAATGGCAATAGCTCCTGTCTTTTAAATCTACAGTTGAGAATCATACCTAATTTACTTGCAATTGTTATCAGAAAAGTTACCCAACCTCATAGTTGATGTGCTTATACTCAAATATAAGGCATTAGTTATTTCCAGGTTAAATTAAGCATTTTCTTTTTTATATATTATTACTTATAGTATAACCTAATAAACAGTACAAAATTCAGTGTTCATTGGTGTTAAAACATATAATTGCAGACATGCAAATACTTGTAAAATGCATACCACAACTAAATATACTGTGCTGCATTTAAAATAATGTAAGCTATGTCTCTAAATAATCATAAGCAAAAGAAATCCATTTGTGGTTAAATGCATAATTTTAATTATAATATAACTATCATGTTGACAGTTATGTTAGAGTTATAATATTCTCCTCACCCAAGATGGAAATCATCTACAAATTTTAAAGAACCCTTTAAAATAAATGTAGACATATTGAGGAGAATTTATATTTTAGTTTCAAAACAGAAATTATTCCTGTCCAGTTTTTCAGTTTGGATGAATAAAAATTTTAGGCAAGACAAAGGAATATATTAATAATTAGCTTAGGGAGAAAAGAACTGAACACTGAGCATGCCTGTAAAACAGAACCAAATGCTACTATGTCGCTACTCAGCAAGTGTATTCACTGTAATGAGATAAAATGTTTTAGCAGAGTTGTGTTTCTGGTTCCCAAAGACAAAAATATAATTGAAAAATCAATGAAGAAAGGAATTCAACCTCTGACCTCCACACTCCACACATGTGTGTACACACACACTAAAATGATAAATGTATACATACATACATACATACATACATACGTAATGCATACATATATCATACCACAACTTTTGTTCTCATTCCACAGTGGTCTGGGCACTTTAGTGGGTCACAGCAGGTCCCCTTTGTCTGCCTCTCTGTGTTTCATGTTTTGGTTTTTGTTAGTTTGTTTGTTTGTTTTTTACCTGCAGGCAATTTAAAAATACAAAACAATACAAAAAGGCATTTTGAGGGAAACCACATTTATTATAAGAAATGGATGCAATAATTTTATTCGTGATATCATTACATTTCCTGTGCCTAACATATTAGTTAAACTTTACCGTAGGTACATACATACAACAAAAGTCACAGCATCTATAGAGCACAGTGCTGTGCATGATCAGCATTGTGCACAAGGGGTCTTGGAAGAGGCAATGAAGAAGGCGGAACTACTGGTTTTATTTTCCTTTGGGAATAGGTAATTACTCCAATGTAGTAAATTACTGGCTTTGCAGGGAGACAACATATATTCCTGCTTTTATTGATGGCAACACTATTTTAGAATGCTTTTTTGTGTAGGGATACTATATCATGAGGCTTGCCATCAGAAACAGGTGACAGGCCTGAGCCCTAGACACAGTTGGAGGACTTTGAATTCTGACAAGAACTTTTAGCGGCTCTATGGACTCTGCAAGTAATCTCTATGTGCTTTCTACTGATTCTGACAATGGTGCCTAGATGATCTGTGTGAGCTTCAAAGAACCAAGTTGAGGATTTAGACTTCTTTGCATATGGAGCGCTTTCCAGTCACGGGACACATAAGTGCCCAACACAGGGAACTTATGGTGATTGCCTTGATGTTACAGTGGAACGGCACTAATGTGAAACCTCCCGGGTCAGTTCTCATGTCAGTTGAACAGCATAAAAGATGGCATGCATGTGATAGTTACATTTACATTGTCTCCCAGCAGTGGGAGGAGAGGCTGCGTGAACAGCAGAGGACAGTTCAGGACAAGAAGCGAACAGCCAGCCGCACCAGTCGCAGTAACCCTCCCAAGCCAAAAGGAAAGCCACCTGTTCCCAAAGCTGCCAGCCCTAAGAAGAATGTCAAAGCGAGAAGTGCCCCCAAAAAACCAAACCCAAAGAAAAGCACGAGCTAATTGCTTTCCGAGATGGAGCCACACATACAGGATTAGGCAGTACTGCCCCGGACAGGCTACAGAGAGCCACAAGCCACTTGCCTTAAGGATTCACTGCAGTTCTCTTCATAGACACACCTTACAGCACTTTTTTAAATGATAGCTTCACTTTTCCTCTTTAAGCACACAGCCCTGTTGGTGGTTGGTCCTCTAGTATGGAAGATGCTAGAGGGAAAGCTGGTATACAGGATTTTGCATTCAGAGGCATGTGCACATGCTCTGTGTGACCTTCATGGGCTGGGAAATTTGCTTCTGTTTTGAGAGTTTGACCTAATATGTACATTGTAAAGTTCACATACTATGTGATCTATTAAATGTGATTGAAAATATGCAGGAGAATGATACTTAAAAGATCTTCATGTATTTGGTGTCTGCAGAAAGATTTTTCTGATGAATGGAGTATTGAAAAATTTAGAGATATGGGAAATAATAATGTGTGTTTATCAAACTTTCTGCTGTCTTCAGCTAGAAACTGAAAACTACGCCAACAGTGACAAATTAAAAGGAAAGGCAGACTGACAATGCCTGTGTTCTTATTGTCCAGTTGCCATGCCATGCTGAAGATGCTCTGATGAAAATGCTTTTCAACACTGTCCCGTGAACCACACCACAAAGAGTATGCTTCTTTTACCCTGTGTGATTCAGGCACCAAGCAGCTGGTTAACCCGACAGGAGAGCTGGAGCACTCATCTCATGGATGTTCTCTGTGCACTTGCAGGTCGTCACAGCCATGTTTGTGGAGCTGTGGCGGCTGGGATGCCCAGCCTGGTACATACTGTGCTATGCCATTGGCACTATATTCACTGTTTTCTTGGTACAGGGAGCAGAGGCCACTTAGCTACCCGCTAAACAATATGAAAGCTTAAGCCTTAGATTTACCATTGTCCCTGCTTGTCAGAGGAAAGGTCAGTGACATATCATACTCATAGTCATTGAGACATGGACACTGACATGAACATGACTGGGGTAAGTGGAGAATCAGTTCTATTAAGAAGTATTAAGCATACACTAGTTGCCTCCCAGAGGATTAGCTTTGCTTGCATTTTTACCCTAAGCTGATGACTGAAGAAACACAGAGCATGAATAAAATGCAAAGTATGTGATCCTCCTGTATAAAATATTACCCATTGACTCCTAAGGAAATTATGACAGGTATTTCCTATAGCATCTAAACTCTGAGATCTCTGGATAGGTCATTAAGCACTGCCTATAGCCTATGCAGCCTGTTAGCACAAAGATTGACAGAGGACACTTAGGAATAGAAATAATCATACTCTGCAGAAAAGGAGGAAAAAGACTTCTGCAAAAAGACTTTAAGTACAAACTCTTTCCCTGGCCCCACACCCCTGGTTCCTTTACTGGAGGCCAGGTTGTCTCCAGGGACTCCAGATAAGACATCACCCACCACCCACCACCCACTAACACTTCTTAAAGCATGCTCAACAATCACCTCTCCTGGGCTCCATATTCTGGCAACCACATTCAGTAGAAGACTTCTGCTTTATCTAAGGCAGACAGATACTAGGAATCCAAGAAAAACACTGTCTACAGCTAGCTAACACTCTCAAAAACTGGTCCACAAACCTCCTATAGCACCCCTTTCTCTGAGTTCCATATCCCAGGCCTCTACCTTGTCAGAAAATTTCTACTGTATTGGAGGCACCCTGTACTATGAATCCCTGAAACCAAACAGGTACTCAGAACCACAGAGGCCACACTGATATTTGGAATTGCAGAGGCAACATTGGGACCACAAACCCAGATGTCCTGCAGGCCACAAAATCCCCACTGGAGACACCCTGATGGATCCAAAGGGTTGCTAGTCACCAGAATTCCTGACCACTTAGGCCAGAAGACCAGAAAGGGAACAGATACCAAGGAATAAAACAACTATCTAAAACAAAGACAAAGTCAGGAACTAACACCTAGACATAACCTAGATGCCTAAATGCCAGTATAAAAACACAATCAACAATAGGAAGGGCCATATGGCACTACCAGAGCCCAGTTATCCTACAACAGCAAGACCTGATCAGTTCAGCGAAGGTGAAATACAAGAAAACAACCTTAAAAACAAATTTACAAAGTTGATAGAGGTCCTTAAGGAAAGAAATGAATAAAATCCTTTTAAGAATGCCAGAAAAAAAAAACAGGCAAGGAAACTTTTCAAGATCTGAAAATGAAAATAGAAGCAAAACAAACAAAACCATAAACGGGGGGAATTCTGGAAATGGAAAATCTGCATAAGAAAACAGGAACTACAGACATTGAAGTCATGATAGGAAAACTAGATTTGTCAGCCAAAGAAAATGTTAAATCTAAAAAATTCCTAACACAAAATATTCAGGAAATCTAGGACAACATGAAAAGACCAAATCTAAGAATAATAGCAATAGAAGAAGGAGAAGAATCCTAACTCAAAGGCACAGAAAACATATTCAAGAAAATCATAAAAGGAAATTTTCCTCACCCAAAGAAGGACATGCCTATAAAGATACAAGAAGCTTATAGAATACTAAATAGATTGGAACAGGAAAAAAGTTTTCACACACATAATAACAAAAATATAAACACACAAAACAAAGAAAGAATATTAAAAACTGCAAAGGAAAAAGGCCAAGTAACATACAAAGGCAGACCTATTAGAATTACACCTGACTTCTCAATGGAGACTCTAAAATCCAGAAGGATGTTTTGCAGACTATAAGAGACCACAGATGCCATCCCAGACTACTATACTCAGCAAGACTTTCAGTCACCATAGATGAAGTAAACAAGATATTTCATGATAAAGTCAAATGCAAACAATATATGTATCCACAAATCCAGCCCTACATAAGATACTAGAAGGAAAACTCCAACCCAAGGAGATTAATTATACCCACAAAACCACAGACTATAAATAACCTCATACCAGCAAAAACCAAAGAGGGGAAACACACAGAGAGAGAGAGAGAGAGAGAGAGAGAGAGAGAGAGAGAGAGAACTACCGCCATCGCTATCAACAAAATAATAAGAATTTATAATCATTGTTCATTAACATCTCTCAACATCAATGGACTCAACTGCCCAATACAAAGACACTGGCTATCAGAATAGATAGGAAAACAGGATCCCTCTTTCTGCTGCATACAAGAAACACACATCAACATCCAAGAGATACATTAACACGGAGTAAAGGGTTGCAGAACAATTTTCCAGTCAAATGGGCCTAAAAAGGAGCTGGCATAGCTATCCTACTATAAAAAATAGACTTCCAACTAAAATTAATCCAAAGAGATGAAAAAGGATATTTCATGCTCATTAAAGGAAAAACCCACCAGGAGGACACTGCAATAGTTAACATCTATGTTCCAAAAGCAAGGGCACCCACATTTGTAAAAGAAACATAACTAAAACTTAAATCATGCATCAAACCTCATACATTTATTGTGTGGAACTTCAGTACCCCACTCTCACCAATGAACAGGTCATCCAAACAAAAACTAAACAGAGAAATAAAGGAGCTAACAGATATTATAACTCAAATGGATCTAACAGGTATCTACAAAGCATTTCACTAAAACACAAAAGAATATACCTTCTTCTCAGCACTTCATGGAACATTCTCAAAAACTGACCAAATATTCAGTCATAAAGCATGTTTCAACAGATACAAGGAAATTGAAATAATTTCCTGTACCTTATCAGACCACCATGGAATAAAGCTGGATTTCAACCACAATAGAAACAAAAGTAATTCTACACACTCACAAAAACTGAACAACTCACTACTGAATCAACACTGGGTCGAGGAAGAAATAAAGAAGGAAATTTTAAAAATTACTAGAATTCAATGAAAATGAATGCACAACACACTCAAGGAACACAATGAAAGCAGTGCTAAAAAGGAAGTTCGTAGTGCTAAGTGCCTTCATGAAGAAACTAGAGAGATCTCATACTAGTGACCTAACAACACAACTGAAAGCTCTAGAACAGAAAGAAGCAAACATACCTGACAGTGGTAGAAGGTAGGATATAATCAAACTGAGGGCTGAAATCAATAAAATAAAAACAGAGAGAACAATGCAAAGAATCAGTGAAACAAAGAGTTGGTTCTTTGGGAACATCAACCATTTTGGCAAAAGCTTATCTAAACTAACTAAAAAACAGAAAGAGAATATTCAAACTTTAAAAATCAAAGAGAAACAGTGAATATAACAACAGACACCAAGGAAATACAGAGATTCATTAGGTCATACTTCAAAAACTTATGCTTCACAAAATTGGAAAATCTTAAAGAAATGGACAATTTCTCAACAGATATCACTTACCAAAGTTAAATCAATATCAAATAAACAACTCCCAGCCAAAAAAAGAAAAGCTCAGGGCCAGATGACTTCAGTGCAGAATTCTTTCTACCAGACTTTTAAAGAGATAACACCAATATTCTTCAAATTGTTCCACAAAAAGAATTGACAAATTCTTTTTATGAAGCAACAGTCACATTGATATGCAAACCACACATAAACTCAACAACAAAAAAAGAGAATTACAGACCAATTCCCTCATAAACACTGACATAAAAATGTCGCACCTGCTGTGCGGCCTGCATCCGAGAATGTAGCGAGGTGGTCGGGATAGATGACACAGAGACCGGTCGGTTGCTTTAAGAAAACTTTATGCTTCCCAAGTCAGCTTAGGTGGAGACCCCAGTCCGCTTAGGAGAGCTCTTAGGAGAAGTCTCAGGAGAAGTCTCTCTCTGAAAAAGGAGCTTCCCTTTTTAAGGACTTCTGCCATTCATCTACATACCATTCTTTCCTCCTGGCTGGTGGTCTAATCTCCGGCCCCAGAATCGGGGAGACACCACAGGGAAACAGGAAGAGACATCTAGCCGTAGGGGGTGTGAAAGGCATGGTATTTCAGTGAGCAAGCCCTTATCTCAGCCCTATGAAGAGCTTTAAAGCACTGAATTGTTTTCAGAAAACATTACACAGATACCTGCTCCCAGGCCGAAGGGGAAGTGGGTTTCTGCTCAAGGTCTGGTGTCCCCACAATTCACCCCTTTTTATTTTTAAATGAGGCACTCCTGTCACCCTCCCTGGCCCGTCTTTGGGGGACCTTGAACCCCTGTTAGGTGGGAGTGGGTCTTCCCCACAGGTTGCCCGTCTTTGAAGTAGCCCCACCCTTAAAATCATTTGTAATAAGGCTTTATGGCTATCGGGATTGCCATGGGCTAAGGCACTTTGAACTCAGCATGAAGTCAGAATGCCTACTGCCACTGTTACCATTCCTAGGGCCCCCACTGACATAGCGCCTCTCTGTCACCTGCCCATCCCCCGATCTGGGCCTTAGCATTCTACCACCAGCCTTTCTTTGCTACAAGGGTGATTTATAATTACAATTTGAAGGTCAAAACAGTGATAAAGTTTACAATCATTTTAAGATCTACTTAGGAAAGCATTAGAGAGTGCACTTGCACAGATACATTAGGTACAATCATTGATGTTACACATGTAGCATTATAAAAAATATGAACAAGA